TTGAAAATATTTTCTCCCAGTCTATAGCTTGTCACTTCACTCTATTGTTTCCTTTGCTGTGTAGAAGGCTTTTTAGTTTGATACAACCCCATTTGTCTATTTTTGCTTTTGCTGCCTGTGCTTTTGGGGTCATCTGCAAGAAATCATTGTCCAGACTAATATTGTGTAGCTTTTCCTCTACATTTTCTTCTAGTAGTTATACAGTTTCAGGTCTTACATTTAAGTCTCTAGTTAATTTTAAGTTGATTCTTGCATAAGGGGTGAGATAAGGCCTAATTTCATTCCTCTGCAAGTGGATAGCCAGTTTTCCCATTTATTGAAGAGAAGGCCCTTCCCCATTGGGTGTTCTTGGTCCCTTTGTCAAAAAACAATTGACAGTAGATGCATGGGTTTATTTCTGGACTCACTATCCTATTCCATTGGTCAATAGGTCTGTTTTTATGCCAGTACCACGATGTTTTAATTACTACAGCTTTGTAATATTGTTTGAAGTAAGGAGGTGTGATGCCTCCAGCTTTGCTCTTTTTGCTCAAGATTGCTTTCACTATTCAGGGTCTTTTGTGGTCCCCTACAAATTTTAGGATTGTTTTTTCTACTTCTGTTAAAAATGACACTGGAATTTTCATTCCTATGAAATGCACTGAATCTATAGATTGCTTTGGGTAGTATGGACATTTTAACAATATTGATTCTTCTAATCCATGAACATGGGATATTTTTCTATTTGTGTCCTCTTCATCTTCTTTCAATAATGTTTTANGTGTGTGTGTGTGTGTGTGTGTGTGTGTACACACCACATTTTCTTTATCCAGTCATCTGTTGATGGGCACTTAGCTTGATTCCATATCTTGGCTATTGTGAATACTGCTGCCATGAACATGGGAACACAGGTATCTCTTCAACATACTGATTTCTATTCCTTTGGATAGACACCCAGAAGTGGGATTAGTGCATCATATGGTAATTCGATAATTCTATTTTTAGTTTTTTGAGGACCCTCCATACTGCTTTCTAAAATGGCTGTACTAATTTACATTCCATTAACAGTGTACAAGGATTCATTTTCACTTATCTTTCATCTTTTTGATAACAGCCATGCTAACAGATGTGTGGTGATAGCTCATGTGGTTTTACTTTGCATTTCCCTGATAATTAGTGATGTTGAGCATTTTTTCATATACCTATTGGCCTTTTGCATGTCTTCTTCTGAGAAATGTCTGATCAAGTCCTTTGCCCATTTTTTAATAGGGTTGTTTTCATGTTATTGAGTAGTTTGAGTTCCTTTTATATTTTGGATATGAGCCTCTTATCTGATACACAATTTGAAAATATTTTCTCCCAGTCTATAGCTTGTCACTTCACTCTATTGTTTCCTTTGCTGTGTAGAAGGCTTTTTAGTTTGATACAACCCCATTTGTCTATTTTTGCTTTTGCTGCCTGTGCTTTTGGGGTCATCTGCAAGAAATCATTGTCCAGACTAATATTGTGTAGCTTTTCCTCTACATTTTCTTCTAGTAGTTATACAGTTTC